TTCGTAGGATCAAAACTGGCGCCACTTTGATAATGGCCGGGTTAATAGTTTATGGGCGCCATTAAAATCTTTAATATATTATAATCTAAACTGCAAGATTACTGCTTACGGAAATGAACGTGTTTTTATTTTGGACTCTAACAAATTAATAGCTAGTTTGATGCTTTTGCTAATAATTTGTCATGAACTATTCAAGGATGTTATTTATCGTGTTGATTATAATACCTTGTTTTTAATAACAGTAAACATTAAATACTATCGATAAGATTCAAGTTTCAACTCACGGAATTTACTAATTAGAAAAAAAAGAGAGAAAAAATTTATGATGTTCAATGTATAAAAGAGAAAGAGGTTTTAGGGAAAAAACATCACAACCTACGAGGTTTTACTTTGACAGAACTACTAAATGTCACTGCAAAAAAAAAAAAACTAAAATAAAAAGAATCGAAATTGAAAATTTACGAAAAAAAAAAGTAGTGGCCTCAAATTTGCATCGGACATTATTTATTAGACAATACTATGGCTACACCGGATTATACATACAATTTGATAACGCATTATCTGAACGATACCGTTTGTTTACGATGAAATACACGTGGACGTAGCCAGAGGTCTATGCCTGAATATATTACCTGGGTAATAAATTAGGCTATGTTTCTTTCAAACATTTATTCGATTCACGACACTAAAATACATTAAAATCGTTTAGATAAATTCAAAACGTTTTTTGAACATTCGAAACGTGGACATTGATATTCGTTTATCGGATCGTTTAGTTTGAATGATCATTCGATTATATGCGACATTAACATAATAATATTTTTTTTTGGAAAAAAAAAACCTAATTCCTTTCATGAAAAAAAACCAACCAACTATATGAGCACTAAAAAGTGTTGCTTTTCATCATTACGATTTTAGTAAAGTAGTAATTATCTGAATTTTAAATCGATTCATTATCATAGGTTAGTATGTAGAGAAAAAAAATCGCGTAAGTTTTTCGAAATTTATTTCTACATCTAAATTCAAACTTAAAGTGGTCTTTAGATATTTTTTTCTGTTAGAAGAGCGTGTCACTTCACATGGGTACATATTGCCTATTTCCACCTCAACGGATCTTCATTCTTTCGCTCTGAATAGTACTTTTTTTTCCTACCTTCTCTGATAGCCTTAAGGCTATATCAGCGTTACCCTAGCGTGTAGGCGAGCTCTCGGGATTCAAACCAGGAGGCGTTGCTAACACTGGCCCTAGCAAGAGCAGTGCTTCGCAGAATCTACCATCGGATCGGTAACTTGACCCACTGAAAAGATCCAGCGAGAGAATAGTACTGTAGTATAGCCGATTCATTAGTTAGGACATTTATTCTAACTTAGTATGGCGATAGTAACTAGTGCAGGATTAGTATACTAGCTAATCTCGGAAAGAATTTGTACATATGTTTTCATTAATTCATAGTTTGAACGAATAAATATCGATTTTTTTTTTTATTGCCGTCTAGGCAGACGATCATACGGCCCACCTGATGGTGAGTGGTTGCCGTCGCTCATGGACGTCAGCAATGCCAGGGGCAGAGCCGAGCCGCTGCCTACCGTGAAATACAAGTATAATAGGTATATTTTTTATCTATTAGACAGCAGACGTTTAACTTCTGACGATAAGCCAACGATTACGTTCAAGACCGTCTTCCGAGACTCAACTAAGAGTTTTTTTTTAGTTTTTATGTAATGAATGGGTCAATGAGCTCAGGGTCCATTGGGTGATTACCAGAGCTTATTGACAACGCGAAAACCGCCACCCATCACAAGACACAAGGTCGAACTTGTATTGGATAAGGTCTGTCTCATCTTTTCTTTTAAGCCGGAATGTATCATTGTTTAGCGGCAGTAAAAGACAGGTAATATGTACCCGTGTAGACTTACAGCACTCCCTAATATTGATAATCGTAAATGATTTATTCATACATAGGTACGAAAAGTTATTAAACAATGCAGCCATCTAATCAGTGTTTGTGCCAAATAATGATAAGATAACAATGCAAGAATTTAGTAGGCCCCATAATAATATATAGAATGTTCTAAATGCTATTGTTACGAAGGAAGATGGTAATGTGAGGAGGTGTATTGAAAAGACTTGGATGGAGAGATGACGTATGATAAGCCTAAATAGAAAGAGAGGACACGCTGTGGTGACGACACGAAATAGGTTAAGAGCAAGAAGAAAATTTTCTAAATACTGTTTTAGCGTAAAGTGGTCACATGGATGGTCACTGGTGGTAGGACGTATTGTGAGTTTGCAGGGGTAGGTAACATCACCCTGCCTATTTCTGCCGTGAAGCAGTAATGCTTTTCGGATTGAAGGGCGTGGCAGCCGTTGTAACTATACTGAGACCTTAGAACTCATATCTCAAGGTGGGTGGCGGCATTTACGTTGTGTTATGGGCTCCGGTAACCACTTAGGACCAGGTCGGCTGTGAACTGGTCCAACCATCTAAGCAATTTAAAAAAAAAAAAACTTACTGTTTCTCCCACGAGGTACACCTTCTTTCTGGTTTGTGGAATTGTGGTGAAGGAGTGGGATAGCTGATGTTTAATGCAATTGAGATTTCGATCGCACATCTCAAGGTAGTAAGTAGTTTCTTTCGGGCTGCGGCTACCGCGTTGGAACGTTCTAGGACTCGGTTATAAAAAAAAACCAGTTGTGAATTTAATATTTCAACAGTAAAATGCCTTTACACAAAATAAATAAAAACCCTTAAATTTTGTGTGACACTAGTATCCATGGAATACGAAAAAAAAAAAACATTTTTTTTGTTTGCCGTGTTTTATCGAAAACGTTTTGTTGAAAGTTTTTCATGAAGATTTTTTTTGACAAAAATAACAAAAGAGATTAATGAAATAAAAAAAAAATATACAATTCAGAACGAATTTTTTTTTTTTACATGAATTTAAATCAAAAAAGTTGATAGTTTTTTAAAGATTTTTTTTAACGGTAGTTTAAGTAACAGTTTAAAAGTGTAGGCCATTCATATCACTAGATACTATCTCTTTCTGACAGGGTTAAGACATGTGAAATTAACTAAACAAATTGTATGAATCTTCACATGTGCAGATCCAAGTCTTGGCTGTAGTGGATAACAGCTATTCCGACCTTCAAATTGGACTGTTTCACAGCTGGTATTGAGGTACCAGTACCATGAGGACTCACAATATACCCTTCCACCAGAAATGTCTATAATAAGTGAACACCAAGAACCAGTAAAACTGATTAAAAGTACTTTGACAGGATTTCTCCTAAAAATAGGTTCTAAAAATACTTCACTTGGTTGGTCTTTTTAGTCTTTGTGGGCTGATGAGCATAACATAGCATAGCAGACACCGTCGCTCACATTGACATCTGCAATTTCAGGGGCACAGCCACTGCCAACTAAGTCCTTTAAAACCGTTCTGAGAAAGATAATTTCGGTAATAGATATATTCGGTAATAAAAGTCGTCGTGGCCTAAAGGATAAGACGTCCGGTGCATTCGTATGTAGCAATGCAACGGTGTTCGAATCCCGCCGGTGGGTACCAATTTTTCTAATGAAATACGTACTTAACAAATGTTCACGATTGACTTCCACGGTGAAGGAATAACATCGTGTAATAAAAATCAAATCCGCAAAATTATAATTTGCGTAATCACTGGTGGTAGGACCTCTTGTGAGTCCGCACGGGTAGGTACCACCGCCCTGCCTATTTCTGCCGTAAAGCAGTAATGCTTTTCGGTTTGAAGGGCGGGGTAGCCGTTGTAACTATACTTGAGACCTTAGAACTTATATCTCAAGGTGGGTGGCGCATTTACGTCGTAGATGTCTATGGGCTCCAGTAACCACTTAACACCAGGTGGGCTGTGAGCTCGTCCACCCATCTAAGCAATAAGAAAAAAAAATACCAATATAAAAATAATACATTTTCGTCTAAAGCAACACGCTATATTCTAATGCCGTGACGTTATCAACAAGGCCTTGCCAACGTTGATAAGGAAACCGTATTGAAATATTATTGTTCTTTGCTTAGTGCACATTTCGTATGCCTATTACAAAAATGTTTGGCGGAAGTCTCTTCGAACACGAGGTCGTTCTACGATTATATAACTAGATTTGGACATGAAAATGTCCAGCTAAAACAGATACGCGATCTTTCAAGCCCGCTACCGGTGCGCGGGCTCAATTTAAATCAGCCGATATAATAGTCACTTATCAGTGTGTACGTTTGAATGTGATGTTAGAGTTTCATATTTTATATAGGAGTTGTTTGTAGGTACCTACTCGGTTTTGAGACTAACGAAGTTGTTTAGGAGAAATGATTTCAGGCAAATTCCGTTTTGAAAACTGATCATTTAATTCAGTATTACAATTGCGCACGTATTATAAAAAAAATAAGGAACTTCGTTCCAATTATTAAAAAAAACTAGCCTACAGATTAAGAATACACTAGGCATATGAGAATGTATCTGAAAAGCCTGAGAACATTTATGTTTCCGGTAAACTTTTTGAATTAATTGAGCTACTCTTTATTTTTGTTATATATTATTATATAAAGTTACTCTTGATTCTTCCCATATCTATGTTATCTGCAAATGAATATCCTCCCTCCAATGGTATTTTCCGAGTGACATCCTTAAAATGAGTTATAAACTATTTTAAAGTATGCGAATTACCTCAAATCAGCTCAGCAGCTATCCCAAAACAGCTCAGCAGTGGTAAAGGCTAGAATGGTCGTTGCCCACTGAGTTTCTCGCCGGATCTTCTCAGTGGGTCGCGTTTCCGATCCGGTGGTAGATTCTGCGAAGCACTGCTCTTGCTAGGGCTAGGGATAGGGTTAGCAACATCGTCAGGTTAGAGCCTCCTGAGCTCACCTACTCGTTCTTGTGAATCTAGTACAATCCGTCGAGATTAATTTAATTAATAGGTAGGAAAACAAAACAAAAAAAAAGTACAATAATTTTAAGTCAGTAAAATGTATAAATTATGTACCATTATAACAAATCTAACTAAAATGTATTATCGTATGTTTGTTTACAATAATTTATACTAATAATAAAAGTATGAAAGTTTTTATGTTTGTTGTCGACTCAGTAACAATGGTTGATAGTATTTTGTTGAAGATAGTTTATTATCTATAATATTGAAACTAAAAATTTAATTAAAGAAATAGATAATTTAAAAGAGTAAGTTCTAAATGTCAGTTTATTATACAGTCATTAGTAAATTACTTTTAATTGGTTTATAATCATAATGCATTAGTGTACCTTTACTGGTTCTTGAGTTTACATAGCAATGGATCTATGATTTAAATTGATCTTTGATGCACCCGACAGTGATCCAAGCTACTTTTTATACCGCAAAAATAAATCTAAATTAGAAATTGTACACATACCCCCGTGCATTGTTATAAAAGTAAAACAATAACATTAACAGCATTTTATAATGACATGATACAGTCAAGATTGTATAAATTCAGCGCATATATTTACGTTTTAATTCGTAAATGGGATTAGCTTCTTCCGAAGGCATTTTTGGCGTACCGAATGAATATACGTAGTAGAAAAATAAATCACCTTATTTTGTGTTCATTATGGAAATTGTTAAATTGAAATCAAAGACTAATTAGCTTTAACATAGAACATTTTACTATTACACTTTATTACTTTATATACTACATTTTATTAATTAGCTTGACTTGAAAATTTTACTGGCCAATTATTCGTTGTTTTTGCACATAAGTACTTCTTAGTGAGGCACTAGAAACTTACACGTGCCGCATTAAATTTAATATTTTGCATAATGTTTTACGTTCAGCATTAGCGGCTGTTTGATGTCACAAACTTGAAACTGGAACGCGTCCAATAAAATACGACTTATCTATTGAAATTACGAAAACCATTGAATTAATCCAAAAGCATTTCGTACATTGACTTTTGGCGCTCAATACAAGTTCATTAGATAATAATATTGAAGTCATTAACCGTGGTGAAACAGAAGTATTTGTTAGAACTTGTATTTGCGCATTCAAAAATGTTCTATTGCATTGTTAACGAGTCGCAGGTGAATGTAGCGCGCTGTATATGCGAAGTAGGTGCGTGCCACGGCGTGTGCAGAATCGGCTGCATCACGAGGGCCCGCGAGGGGCACCACCGCTCTAGCCGTCTTTTTTCATTTTCCGTGCGTCTTTTTTTGGCATCGCGCGTTAACCTTGGCTGTTATTTTTTTTTTTTTTTCATAGCGAAACACAGTGCACGTACGCGCACAAGTTTTGGATAGTCGTAGAGCGTCCCCCACTCGACGCGTCCGAATTTTCTGCATTCGGACGGCGCGAAGAGTTTTCGGCGGTCGCATTCGCGAGCGAGGCTCCCCGCGGCTAGGAGCGAACGCGTACGGCCCTACACACACGCGCGTCGCGAGCGCTGCAACATGCGGAAGTAATCACACCGACCCTAACTAACTAAGCCTGTGTGCCTCGAGTGTTGTGAGCTGATTGACGGACACCAAGTGATACAAACTATGATAGTTGTGAACGGCTCATTAGAGCTCTGATGGTTTAAATATATAACGATACGAGGACTGTGGAATTAGCGAAATGGAATCGAGGAAAGTATTGTTGCTCTATTTATTTATTTTATTCAAAAAAATATTAGTTGATTGAATTATACGAAAAAATATATAATTGCGCAACTTAAAATTTCCGACCTTGATTTTGGTATGGAAAGAAATAGATCCAATCGAAGGTTTTCGCTGCGATTCGACCAGGAAACGTTCTGAACGCCTTAGAAAACATATGCGTCGTAAGTTTTTCCATTTGACTATCAATCTTTTCGATTTTTTCTAAACGCTATCGATTAACCTAGGTATCGATAAATAGTTGACAGCCCCGCGACTTACACACGATAACCTTAACAGGGCGTACGCCAGTTTGCACCTTAAAACGTTGTTGCATTAAGACGTATTTGCGCAGTTCCGCATCGCCCCCGAAGTTTTGCATACACGTGCTGTCGCTCTGGGGCTATTGAACTTGATAATGAGACAACCGTATCTCCAGTTTTTTTTTCGATTCGAAAAATATTGCATCAGTAATTCTTTCTGCGCGTTCTCCGCAACCGGTTCCTGGCTGCGCTCGTTTTACGAAACCTGATCATGATTAATGCGAAGCGATCGCTAATAGCGAACCTCTATGGCAGTAGCATAGAGACAAACTGTCAAAAATTCTAGTTTTCCGCGAGATACGCGTATGGCCACAGCGCGCGAGTTGATTACGAGTACAAGGTACGGCCCCCGGAACCGCTCAGCGAGACGTGAACTGGTCGCGTAACGCATTAAACATTTGCATAGAAACTGTCAATGTGGCCCCGCGCGTCCATGGACAAGCGATTAGCACCTAGACACGAACCGCGGTCATCGGTAACCGCTCGCCGCGGCCGCGACCGCGCTTCTGTGCCTCCGAGACGCTCGCGGTCCGTCAATCAAACGCATTTATAATCGACCTTAAATTTATACAGATACCGCTCTTTACGCATTGACGAATCACATGCGCTACTCAACATGCCGATTTGAATTTCGAATTGTTTAATTCTTTGTGCATTCAAATTTGATTTTTTTTTTTTCATATGGGGCTTAGTGTTGTGGTATTCATACAATCCGATGACTCAGTTCTCACGGCAAACGATTCTGCGTACACACGCATTATCTTTCATCTAGATTATAATTGCCAGTACCGATGTTTGGATCGATCCTTTTTATTAGTTTTGTTTGTAGATGTTATTGCTCTACATAATTTGGTTTTAGTTAAATACCTACTTTAGTGCATCGAAAACAACATGATTCATGTTAAGGTTTTGATAAATTAAATACAAACATGACAACGAACTGGCCTATTTGTCAATAGAATTGAATTAAAGGAATATTAAAAATATCCTGTTACTATTGTGTTAATTTTTTTTCACATAAATATGAATGATTAGGTGTCATTACGACCGACTGAATCTTTCGAGTGAATGAGATATACAAAAACATACGTAGTGAAAATGTAACACCATTAAATTTATATCATAAATATAATATCTAAAATTGCGATAAACAACACAGTATTTCGACCGCATTGGAGATACCGAATTTAAACACATTTTACTGGATATTACTGTTCCATTGATAAAAGAGTTTAAAATGGAAAAGGAAAAAAAAATGTGAGACCTTGTACCTTTTAACGTATTTACGCGTTCTACAAATTTTTGAATAACTTGTTTTTTTTTTTTTTTTAATTTGCATTATGTAAAGTTATTAGCATGCTATAGTGCGAAGGTCGTTGCTACGATTGGTCCTACGCTTCCGCTGACGTTACGGCCACAGGCAACCGACCAATGGCAACGCGCTGCGCCAGCAACATAGATTATACTCTTTTAAAATAAACAGCAGTTAATTTATTTTCAAATTTGGAACTCTAATTGTTTTGTCACATAACGAAGTTGCGCGGAGGCCTAGTTTTTATTAAAAGGTAAGCTAACTACCAATTCTATTATCGCATCGAGTAAATATATTGCCCAAAAGTTATTACGGATTCAATCAAATTCGAATTGAAGTAAAGCTATCAAAGCAAAAATTAAATTATGTAGATTATGTTACCGAAAAAAATATATATATTTTTCTAAGAAATGATTAGAAACAAAGTATGTACATGACACGTATCTCTGCACTTTGTAGATAACCTTATGATTTCAAGCCTACCACATTTCATACAAATTATAGATAAAGAAACACGATTACCTTATAAACAAGGCACAGTGATGTTAGTGTTGTATCAAGTAAATTGAGTTAATTTAGAAGGTACTAAGATTTATTTTTTATTTCACAATTAAAAAAATACTCACTTAACCATACTTTTTAAATCAAAATCTATTTATGTTTACCGTTTTTTTTTTAAATACCGTAATCACTGATTCTGTAGCGTTCTTTATTTGAAATTATTAATTCGCATAGTTTTCTTAGTAGTGTGATCTCATATCAAATTTTTGGAAAGGGAATAAACAGCAATAAAATGTTATCGATTGAGGAAAAAAATATTACTATTTTTCATAATAATAGATAGATATCAAAATAAAATTTCGTCCAGATACTCGTCATACTTGTTTTTGAAGTAATTTTTTTTTTTTTTTTTTTTTTCTCTTCTCTCAAATAATTGGGCTGTCGTGGATAGCACGCTAAAACTGCGGATTCATCCACTACCAACCACAATTTCGTCCGAAAATCGAGAAGTACTTACATAAGAACCACTCACATCTAAACTATCCACATGTTAAATGAATAATTATTCTTATGTAACCTCTATACGATTAATCCTTAAAGAGGTTAATATGTTATTTATATCATTCTTCTATAGATGACATAAATAGAATTTCGATTATTGAAACATTAGAACATTAGACATATAAAGAGCATTTTTGCAATATTAAAATATAAAAAGATATAAAAATAATGGTGAAGCAATAGCTTTAAATGTTGTTTCTCTTTATAAGAGCAACTCAATTGCTATAGTTTTACAAAGCTAAACTGTATTTTGATTTAAATAAATAAATACATTATACTTATATTTTGATAATAATATTTCTATATTCTGTTACCATTCAAAAAGACGCTAAATTCCATTATTCCGTGCTTTCTATTGAAATCGTGTTACGATTTTAATGGTTTTATTATTAGTTATAGACGGCATTCGTAATAACAATTGGTAGTCTGCAAGTAATCTAATTAATAACTTATAAATTTTATTATATCGTGGGGTGAAAGCTTATTCGGTTTAAGCGACATTTCGCTTAGTACGCGACATTTTTTTTGTACTATGTTGGCTCAAGACCAGCCATGGTCAATGTAAAATAAATAAAATGTACTGCTTTTTTCTTAAGAAAGATTTTGTATTACTAACACTTCATATGGAATTTAATTCTGAAATAAAAATTTATGATTATTATTATAAAGGTGCGTTTTGTTTGGTATTAGCAACGACAGTTCGATGTTTTTAATTGAACCCCAATTGAGCTTACTCCATTGAAATAGCTGAAAAAGTTTGTTTTTGTTATGATATTTTTTCTTTTTCGAAATTTTAGATTTTTTATTGACTCACTCACCTGTAAAGTTGAAAATATGTCGCTTAAACAAAATAGCTTTTAAAGTCTCGACGGTTTTCGAGACATATTATTATAATAGTAATTTATTTGAATTGGCTTACTCTTTTAATTTATTCTGGAGCTTATTATTTGCATTATTAAAATGACGCTTTGACACGGTTTCGTTAGCGGTCGCCACAAATACAAAAATAAAATTGATAGCTACATTTTGACGTAAAGTTTTTTTATAAATATTCCTATTATAAGCTAAAATTGCTTTGACGTATGCATGTGAATGTGTGTAAATTGTGTTTTGTATGTTTATGTACATAATTGTACCTATATCGTTTTTCAACTAAGCGATGCGCTTACCGTGTCAATCTCTATACCATCCTGGGTTGACTGATAGAAAACGCCTTAGGCGTCAACCCAGGTCAGTTAGGTAGTTCGTCACTATACTCTTGTGCATAAGGTAAAAAAAATATATTTAAAATCAGTGTGGTCGAAGACAATTGAATATGACAATTAGGGATAGCTCAAAAACTACTGGTCATATATTGATGAAATTTAAATTAGATAGCACGGGAACAACCATTTTCCACTGAGGCATCGTCAAAATTGGTTCACTCAGAGAAAAGCTTTGAGGGAACACAGTAAAAAAAATACAGTCTAAATTGAGAAGTCTTTTCTTCAAGTTGGTTAAAGAAGTAATATCCGTGAACCTTTCGTGAACTTACAACGATAATGAGCATAGACAAAAATAATAATGAGAAAAAAAATATCTCTTATCTATGGAGGGCTGTTCGGTTATCGATTCTTTTGCCGAATTTAATTATTCAATTTGCCTAAGAAACTATGTATGAGCTGGCCGTTTTGGTTGGTAGTCCTGAAAGATTTTCTTTTCATGTAACACTGAAACTGTTTAAACAGCCCCAGTTCTTCGATGATAACAAAATGTCACCGCTCCATATAAAACTGTGGCAATTTTCGTTTTAAATACAAACATAACACGTCTCGATGTATACACACATGCACATGTACAAACACAGTTGGTGCTTACAACCTATTCGTAGTGGGTTTTTTTTTCACAAATCATAATCAGAATTTTCGATCGAATTATATTCAAATTCAAATTCAAAATCATTTATTTCAACTTAGATGTCAGTATAACAGACTTGTTGAATGTCAAAATAAAAATAACAATGTCAACTTTACCACCGGTACCAAAAAAAGCCACAGTCCTGAGAAGAACCGGCGAAACAAACTCAGCGGGCTTTTTTTTTTGTTTTTTCTCAAATATATATATATATATATGTTTTTTAAATAAGTAAAAATATTTACAATAAACGAAAAAACAAGTCAAAAAATACAATTTTTTTTTTATGAAAGATGAAGTGATATACTTTTTCTACCGAATTTCAACCCGGTTAAAGTTGGCGATATGTCTGGATTATCCGGATCTGACCATGGTTACTACAAACCGAACTGTAACTACGA